CTGTAGGGTGCATGGACATCTACTTTATAATGCACCTTCAAACTTCTCTCCTCTCCTCGCTCCCCCTCACCCACCCTCAACCATCTTCACTTTTTCACTTTGGACCGCGGTGTGACAGAGTCTTGAGCCCAGTGACTCAACTTCCTGGCTTTATAGATTGTCATAGCAATGGGTTCACCAGCCAGGTCAGCCCTCAGGAAGTATGGCCAGAATGCCAGCCTCCCTAGGAGAAGGTCCTCAGCATCCTGTATAGCTCCACCTTCATCACCCACAGGACAAAGCCATGGGAGAGAGCTGTTCCACCAGCCTCTTCCCCATGTGTAATCATGCAATCCCTTGGTTTCTGTGTCAGCTCCTTCGTTGAGACCTGGCAATGAAATACTTCTCTTATCGTAGGCTGAGCTATACTGGCAGCCCTAGCAGCTAAATATTCTGAGTAAACTTTTCTCTCCCTCCCTCTTTTCACCCCACCACCCTCATTCCTCTCCACCTCCTCCTCCCTCCTTTACCTTCCGAAGCCATATTGCCTTCTTAGTAGTATCTCTATTACTGCTGGTTTACTCATAAAAACAATTGAAAGTTTTGAGGCTCAGTGTCTCCCCATCTCCAAGCATATCAAAGCAGTCTAAGCAGCCCTAAATTAGTTTACGCCTTCACCTGTTATCTAGAGCTGCATGTGTCAGTGAAAAAGAATATAATCCTGAAAGATAATGTAATTGGCAGCAGTGAAACACCCTGGTTGCCCTGAGAGGGAGAAATCCACTTAATACTTTGGTCTCCCCTTCCAATTACCTTTTAATTATTTACAAGCTCCACAAGCCCAGCTGGTGCAAACCCAGGAGCTGATCTCGTCTCAGAGGGGCTGCCATAGCAATATAGATTTTAATCAGGAGTGTAGCTCCACTGCTTTATTTTCTACTTTATTTTCTTCCTTCCCAGAAGGATTTTTAAAGGAAAATGGAAGTTATATCAGCCTATTCAAGCATGAAGATCCGTAATGGTTTGTTTAGTACTATGTGTCCCCACTAGAGTAGGAGCTCCTTAAGAACAGCCACTTTATCATTTCTTTGCATCCCTAGTGCCAGCACAGGGCCAGACGGGGAGGTGCTCAGGGCTGTGTCTGCTGTATGAGCAGGGAGGCCCGCGTTCGACAGTAATTGGAGGTTAGTAATAGAGAGCAATGAGTGCCATGTCTCTTGCTACTCCACAGTATCTGAGGACTGCCAGACTGCCATCTAGTATATTTCTGGGTGAACCCAAAGCAAGAGTGACTCCCTTTGATTTTGTCAATTTATGGTCATTCGGGTCCTGAGTAAACCTTTCTCCTGTCTTCATCACTTATGTTAGGTATTTCGCTATTTGCTGGCATCACCAATAGAACGGAAACGGTTGAGTCAGTTTCACTACTTGTAAATTACTAATACAAGGTTTCTCAGCCTTAGCATTTTGACTTTGGGGACTGGATAATTCTTTGTTGTGGGGGCACCTCCCTCCACCAGTCATAATAACCAAAAATGTCTCCAGATATTGTAAATATCCCTAGGGACATTTGTCTCCCTATTGAGAACCACCGCTGTAGAAGGATTGGAAAGAGAGTGAAGATCTGAAATTTCCTCTACAGGGAAACTTTATGGAAACCATATTACCTCCACTCGGGTAGAAGTACCTAAGGCAGCGAGGCCTGTGTCAGAGGATATTGTGAGCACTCCTTCTGTGGCTGAGTGCCAAAGCGAGGGTGCGGGGCCCCCATCTTGGGCTGGAGTACAGGGTAGGCCTTGGAGAAGAGCTGCAGCTCTGGCATACCAGGGTCACAGGAGTGGAGGAAGCCACACAGGTAGAGGTAGAAACACAAAGGTGTACATGGCCCAGGCACAGCTGGAAGAACCTTTGTCTGTGTCCTGGATGAGTCAGTTGTCACCAGACTGTGAAGAGCCGTGTTTGGCCAAGAAGTTAGCACTCCTGTCTATGGACATAGCAGAGTTATTAGTTAAAACATGAGGAGTGTTATCAGAGCTGGGCCTTCAGGACACTTGTGGCAAGCAGTGTATAATTGGGCTGGAGAGGGGAGACAGGCCAGAGGGACTGTAGAGGCTGTTCTCTTAAATTCACAGTGATTTCCCTGGTAAACTCATGTCTAATAGTCTCAGTTGGAGCGGGCGGGTCAAGAGGGTTGGGAGCAGCTTGCACTTCTAATCATGTGAAGCTTGCTATCTTTGCTCTGCACCGAATGATGAGACCAAGGCCCCTAGACATTTGTGACTTATTTGTCACTCCCAGATTGGAGTGTCTGAGGCACTCAGGAGCCAGAACTTGTAAGGTGGGTCCAAGAAAGAGCATTCACATACCTTGGCAGCAGGTCATCCTCCAGAGCTAATATGAAGGAAGGGGTAGATTTCACAGGAGCCGCTAAAAACGGCCTGAGTTTCAAAGACCTGGCAATGCCTGCCCACCTGGGCTGTGAGTGGGACTGGGCAGCTTTGACACAGCAAGGTGCACTGCAGAGGAAGTCATCAGGGTTTCCAGGGAGGCAGCACACAGCAGGCCACCCCAAATGACTGCAGCTGCAGGTGATAAAACAGCTGTCCAGTGGGAGAGGGGGCCAGGCTGTAACTGCTGCTTTTTGTGTTGGCTCTTTTGCTTGTTAACATGTTTGAGTGAATTGACTGCAATAGATGGGCCTTTCAGCTCACAGCACCCTGGCTGGTTTCTAAGCCAGACCAGGGTGACTTGTGTCCTGGGGACCCCTCCCCCACCAGCACAGCAACACATCCTAGAAGGATCCTGAGAAGAAACCAAGGCAGTGCCCACTCAGGCTCACTGTCTCCCTCCTGCCCTAGGAAACAGCCGCCACAGTTCCGTCTGGAGGCATGTGGCAGAAGAAGGAGCTCTACACTGACAAGTGTAAAGCCAGAGCTAACATCTCATCCTTCTCCATAATCTTTAGCAAATTCTTCCCTTTCTGGGGGCCACAGTTTGTTTTAAAATGAGAGGATTCAGTTAGAATCAGTTTGGAAATTTCTTCCAAGTTCTGTGTTCTGTATTACGTGTCCATGATTGAGTCTGTTGAGCTACCAACAGATAAAAGCCACCTTTCATGATCAAAAAAAGAAAAGCTTTTTTTTTTTTTTTTTTTTTTAGCAATTTTCTATCAAAATGGTTTTATAAAAACTAGACCAAGGATCCCCAAGACCAAATGCATCTCCCCTTTCCTTGCCGAATAATGTGTTTCCTCTTTTGCTTACTGAAGCCAAATTGAATTAAACAAGTTACCTCGATACTGTGCCTCCTAATGTTTCTCTAGAATGGATAGATTTCAGAACTCTGGTGCTCTTTTTTGCTCACCTTTTGCCATGTGCGCATGCATGTATATATAAAATACACATGGTTCTTTGCCAAAAATAAAGCCAAACAGTTGTAGATAAAATTCTGTGCTCTTAATTTAACTCACTGTGCATGGTTTCGGAGATATCACTCTCTGGTTGGTAGATTTTTCTAGGAGGAAATCTGGCAGGGGGGCGGAAGGGGGGTGGTGCTAATTTGGAAGTCTGATAAGCCATGGCTTATACACTGTTCCATCCTTCCTTCATCAGTGAGGAAGAAAATCTTGTTCTCGTGTTCCCTAGGCTAGTGAAACAGAAGCATGGTCTCATCCAAGAGGAAGAAGATGATGGTTTTGTTGTTGCTTTTATTATTATTATCCCATGCACTTTATAGACCCTTTCAACCCATTATCTGACTTGCTGCTCCCCACAGCTCCAGCTCTGTGGGGTAGAGAGAACAAAGGTTATCAAATGAACCATGAATAATTAGCCCCCAAGTAAAATGACTTACCTGAGGCCACAGAGCAGATTTGGCACTTGGTTTCCTGATTCCCTGGTCTGTCAGTGCTTTCCTTCTCTTGCATGACCATTGTAAAACTTGGCTTCTAGCACCAGCAGCCCCATTACTTCTCTCTCATTGGGGCAGTAGACACGCCTTGTCTCTCCTTTAGCTTTTTAAGCCCCACAGAGAGTGCTGGCCTATCTCCACAGGCCACTATCCGGTAGGGTCTGATAGTATCTAGCTGATGAACGTGGGGTGGAACTCTTTAAGGTCTATTTCTCAGTGAAGGACAGATGTGACAGTTCATAGTGGCACAGAGATTGCCATCTGTCAAGGCAAGGATGGGGTGGGCACAGGAGAGAGAAGCCCTAACAACAGCACCTTGCACACACCCAGAGGGCCCATTAGCAAAGCTGTCCTCTCCAGCCCCTGCC